GAGCTGGATGCACGCCCTAGAAAACACGGCCTCAGCAGCCACGCCGGATGACGACGGGAAGCCAGTGCCTCTGACCAGAGTTAAGTGGCCGTCCCACGGAAGTATCCTAAAACTGGAGAATCCCAGCGTTGATGCTTCAAGGAAAAGAAAGGAAAGCCGACCACTTCTGGGACCCCGGTACCTCATTGGAAGCGCCAAAATTCGAGAATGAGAGAGGAGCCGCGTGGCAAGCGGAGCTCTATTTTTTTTTTTTGCCGTGGCGTGTTTTCTTGTGCCCTTGAAACCATCCTCATCTGTGACATACCCAACGTTTACCAACCAATTCCAGGGGTGTCACAGTTGAAACCTGTAATTTCATCTCCGCCCACCAGGAACCATGGAAGTGGCATTATTCTGTCCAATAGGGAACCCACCACAAGGCTCCGTTTATATACAAATTGTATTCCAGCGCCCACCAGTCAATTCTCATGTTAGCGGAGAGATGTGCACTGACCCATTCTGGTAAGACCCCCGACCGCGATGCGCTGTCCCGGAGTGAAGGCGCTGATCTCCTGTCGGGAGATCTGGAGGGCATAAGACCTGTCAGCCCAGGTCAAGATTCCGGGTTGCTGTCAAAAGAATTCCAAAGCCTGAAATCCCCACGTGGAGGACCTTCATCATATATCATGATAAGCTGGTTTAACCCATAAAATACAGCAAAAGAGTGGGAAAGTCAGGGCTCCTCCCCTGTTTAGTGAGTCTCCCCCGCATGGACCATAAGCTGGATGACTTGCTGGAATCGCACGCTTCCCTTCCATCCACGGGATCGCTAAATTTCAGGTCTGAAGACCCTTTGGCTTGGGTGACTGTGAGCTCGAATTTCGTTGTCCGACTTGTCATGGAACTGGAAAGCTAGAAACCTAGGCCAGGCTTAGACCCTCTGCAAGAAGCGATTTTGTTTTGGTTGGTTGACAGGGAAATGAAGGAAATCCAAGAAGGCAAAAGTTAGAACAGGTAAGCCAAGTATGACAATGAAACAGGCTTCATTTCGGGCCAGTTCGGGCCCGTAGGCAACATTCTGGCACCCCTTGAAGAATCCCCTTGAGCGATTGGGTGTTCACATGACTTCCAAAGCAATACCTCTAAATTTTGTCGGCCCAACCAAACCAGCCCGACCCAGACACTGACCAAACCTTCGGCAATCGAACACTATGCAAGGTCAGCTGCTTCCAGAAATTGATCTCCACAGTACTCCAAGTCCCTCGCTGGGAAAAAATGAGCCGAAACCAAGAATAAATTTCTATCAGGAGGCCCACAATCCACTGGTCTTATCCCCAGGAAACGGCGATGGGAGCAAAGCGTGGTGCGCTAATGTCCGCAAGGGTTTGGGGCTCAAACCGCACACAGTTCACAAGGGGGGTCTCCTCTTTTAACCCACAACAAGTTGTTGTTTGTTGATATAGGAACCCCATCCTTCACCTGAGTTGTCCATGATTGGAGGGCACTACTACTACAAGGGAAACCACTACCATCTGGCATAAGGACCTTGCGGATTGATTTTGAGCAACCCAGCTTCTCACTTCCCAGGCACAGGCCGAAAAAGTCCAAACTGTGTGTTTGCGCTTAAAAGGTCTTCCCACAAAGTCTTTGTCCAGAAACCAAAACCGTGTCCTTTCTCGGGCTCGCAAGCACCTCGTGCAGCTCGGACAAATGGATGAGCCCACTCGCCACCTGCGCGCAGTGTCAGATACCGCCGTCCAAAGGACATGACCCACGAACTGACATGATCTGCAAGTTCTGAACAAGAATTGGATCCCAAGGCAAAGGACCTAAGAGTGAGCTCCCAGCCCACGAAAGTTCCAAGCATTTGCTTCCTTTCCAGAAAACGCAAGGGTGTTTGCCCAAAGCCCCTGCAGCAAACCCACAACAGTGCCCAGCTGCGCAGCAAGATGTTCACGTAGAGACCAGGCCTGCTACCCGCATCAGACATGCCGTTTTTGCCAATGGGTCACAAACCGGTCTTGTGAAACCCTGAAAATTGTGCCAACAAGGCACGGCTGGTGCAGGCGTGTCGGCCAAATGAAGTTGACACATCGTCGCGCCACATGTTGACACTACAGAACATCCATATGTGATGCATCATGGCACCACAAACACCTTTACTTTACGTGCTGCCTGCCGAAGAAAACGTTTGCAGTGGAAACTTCATGGCATCAACATGCATCAACCTTGTGTATACCCTGGAAGAATGCCCGGACAAATCCAGCCGATACCCCGGATCCCGTTTGCGTCTCATGAGTTGCGTTATTTTTCAATTCGGACTCGGTGGAAAGCGATGTCTGGCACTTGCTGGGGCGCTCACTTGGGGCGCTCACTTGGAGCGCGCTTTTCCAGGCAGCCTCGCATCAGGTCAGCCAAACACCAAGCCGGTACTCGCTACTGCAGCGTGGCTCGTCATCTTTGCTGGCATTTGGATGCCGAAAGGCGCTGTGGAATACCGTCCGAAGCTGCTTGTAGGGCGCGTCAACATCTCGGCTGTAAATGAACTGGCGGAAAACAATGACTTCCTTCGTTGTCACGTCAGAGTAGTAGTACCACTTCTGATCCGCGTTGAACTTAAGGCCCATGCTTGCCATACCCCCGGAAACAAAGCCGTGAAGCTCCGTGTTCACGGTATCTTCCACATTGACCGTGTTGGGATCGCACAAGGCCAGGGGGGTGTCTTTCACCGGGCCCTTCATCGGCAGCACGGGGCGCCAGAAGTTCAACATGCAAACCCCGGCGGTGCCCTGCTCCGCCAAACGCGACTTGAACTCCTCGAAGCTGCCGAAGTCCCCGCCGAGCTTGTAGGAATAGAGCCGCAGGTCCTCGGGATACAAACCTCGGCGCGTGGATCCCTGCATTGAAAGCTTGTCTAACTCGACTTTTGGCGGGATCCATCAGAACAAAAGTCCAAGGATATGATCCGTTTGCAAAAGCTGAGTTCGTGTTTTGGCGGGAAATGTGTCAAAAATACAAGTTTGAGAGGGTATGGCTGGGAGCTGCTAAGGAGCCGAAGTCCTGGTGGACCCCCAGGCCGTAGTGTGGATTTGGGCCGCCAGGGCCCCGTCGCAGCGCGACCTTGGGGTAGAAGATCTGGCCACTCTTCGGAAGGAGCTCCCGAATGAGTGGCTCCAGTTCCTTACGGATCCAACCAGAACCTGGGCTTTGCCTTCTACACATAGCGATCAATACGTTCTTTGACCCAAAGGGTAGGCGTGCCCCAAATGCTCAGAGCGTAAACCGTGGGTTGATCGCTGAAAGCAGAGCTTCCTTGGCGTAAATCTGACGCAACGCCGACTTGGAGTCCTCAATCAGAGAGCTCCTTTCGACGCCTGCAATGGAAGTATTGGCCAGCCAGTCCTCTCAACGTTGGCTTTTTGGCCAAAATGAACACATGGTTGTGGGGCGGTCTGTGTTTTTGGTTGCTTTTGTGGGACTCCTGTATGAATCAAACATGTCGCCAACTCTTAGTCAACCAATTCAAGAAGGACAGCGCTGGGTCCTCCGATGTCATCTTGGTATGATGTTCCACCAGCACAAAGCCATATCGCTCAAAAAACTCCCGCGTACTCAAGCCCTCCTGCGCTTGCTTCTCACGTGCGTTGTAAATCTTGACAGGTACCCGGGGCTGCTGCTTCATCATGTTCTTGAAGGTTGTGCGGCACACGGGAGAACAGGGCGGTAGGCAAAAATATGTCAAGCAACCCCGTAGACCACCTATGAAGCAGCCAAAGTCGTATTTGAAGCGCTCTCCCGGCTTCTGTTGGACCTCAGACTTGTAAAAGCCCGCAAAGTCTGCAATCAGAGCTTCAGGCTCCGAGTTCCCAGATGCCGGCGCCATTGCCCGAATGGGCGCCGCTCGTTTGGCTGGCTGAGTTGAACAGGATCATGGTGGAAATGCGCGGCATCTTCATGCTCGGGTTTCAACGTATTCTGAATCATCATATGTGCTCAGCGGGTACGCATGAATCTGTAAGAGCCGCACAGCGGTTCTGAGAGAGTTGAGTCCGTGGCAAGGTGGCCAGCTTCCGCACGAAAACACAACTTGTACAACAGTGACGGACTGAAAAGCTAGTTGCAAAGTACAACTAATGACATTTGAGGCCGGAAAAACATGTTGGTGGCATCCATCCTTTATTAGGGTGCTGCAAACCCAGCAAAAGGCGAAATATTTTCGGGAACCCTTCCTCATCAAGCTCGCAAACTCGAGTGGCTTCATCTCTCCTGGCCTCTCCGGTAGGGGTCTGCACGTCCACCCAAACACCGTAGGAGGCCTGAGGCAAAGCCAGAGGGGAAAACTCATTCCTGCTGCTGTGGTAGGTGGTTTATCCCAGCTTTTGTTGCGCTTCGTCCATCCTGTTGCAGGCTTTTTCTCATCCACTATGAACAAAGATTAAAAGTCTCATCCCCCCCCGTCAGGCTCAAAATCGGGCGTGAGAATCGGGCGTGAGAATCGGCCCTGGTGGGTTGGTGTCCTCCCCCATACGACATGGAAGTGAGGGTGCTTTTTCAACAGGACGGTGTCCATATACAAACCAACTTGCACCAAGCCAAGTTAGGTAGAAGAGCCACTTTTGCGCAGTCGGCCCTTGCCAATCACTGCAAGCCATCACTACCTCAGCATTTGCCCCCAAACACACTGTCATGTTTACCTTCTGGTCCATGCTTGCTGAACCTTGATTTGTAGAAATGATGCCAATCGAGGTCCCAAATTCATCCGACCCCACGAGGGGGTTGCAGCATACCCCCGGCTTCACCGTGGCCTCCTGCTTCACCACAGCCTCCAGCTGCTGCCGCCCCTCAAAGGCCAAAAGCTCCTGCCGCCGCCCGCCCACCGCCATCGTCATGCTCAACCCGTGGCAGGCTGTCACACAACCAACCCACCCATCAATCACTGGAATTGGAAATGGAAGATGCCAGGGCGTTGCCCACCAACCAATAATCACAGTCATCGCTTTGATCACTGGGTCACATTGACTGGGTCTGGCTCTTGGGGTCCCGATCGCGCCGTTTCGTCGAACCCGCTGCTCCCGGCTTGGACAGCCTGCAACGGCCGCGCCCGGCCGAGGCTCGGCCACTCGGCGCTCAAGATCTGAAAATGTGTGCGACGGACTGTACAGCAAGTTAAAGCGTGGCTTCCGTTTGCCCTTTGTTCAACTGAGAAAACAAAACAAAACAAAACAGACTTGCCAGTCGTGTCATGTTTCCTTTAAAGCCAACAGGGGAACATGAGAAACAACAATTCAGCAAATGGAAGATTGCATTGCCGGCGGCGGCAAGTCGCACACACGCCAGAGCAAAACCATACATGTGGCGCATCAATACAACTGCCTCGGCTTCTGCCCGGAACAAAAACTTGATGGTTGATTCTGGTCCATATGCAATGAATCTCAAGGTGGATAATGTTTTTAAAGCGGATCCCAGAGACGGCGGGCAAAAGCCTGATGCTGTCGCCTTCAAGAGCCCAAGCGCTTCCGTTTTTGTCCGGAAGGCGGAGGTGTCCTCCTTTAGGGGAACGAGGGGAACCAGCTCCTTAGTTGCCCGGCTGAAGAAGCAAGCAGGCAAGCCAACCAGTCAGCAAGCCGGCCAGCGAGCAAGCAAATAGGAGGTGGTGGTGCAAAGATGCAAGACGCAGATGGGGATAAGACGAAGACGACGCAACAGAAAGGAAAACATACAAGTCACGAGGAAAAATATGGGCACGGGTCCAGTCTCGTATTTTCACACAAACCCGAAACCCAGGGGTTGCCCTTGGAGACGACGAGCTTTGGGTTTAGGTCCACCGTCAGTCCGAACTGGGGCTCCAAAGGCGCGAAACGCCGCCCTCCAGCACCCGCAGCGGGATGAAGAAGCTGGTGGTGCGCTCGTAGGCGGCCCACTCCTCCCCATACTTGCCAGCCATGTAGGCCTTGCCAGGAAACTCTAGCAAAAAAAGCTTTGGATGCGGCAAAGCGGATCACTGCAGGATCAAACAATGGCATCAACATGGGCAAAGTCATGTGAGATGTCCACCTTCCAAGAAACCAGCTACAGGAATTTGCCACAGGAAGCCAAACCCCTTAAAGTTGGTGAGTATTTGCTTGATGTCCGGTAAATTTGGAGGACCCCCCTCCTCTTGCTCCTCTAGAGCATCAACCAAAACATGGCCAGGCTTCCCTCAAGCAACAGAAGTCTTATCCACCCAAAGGTCCCTTTGTAAGGAAAGTGGTCTAGGCTTCCCTCACGAAACATGTTGGTGGGTATGGGGCGTCAAACTCAAGAACACACGAAAAGCGTTTCTGTTTAGTTCCTGGCTTGAAGGACAGTTACCGCCGCAGTACCGCGCAAAAGGCGGAATCAACCTAGCCCGCTGGGCGCCTCAGACGTTCACCAACCGAAGGCGTGAACGTGGATATGGGTGCGTCCGAATCAACTTCCAACTCCTGACAAACATGGGAGGTGCCTTTTGGATGCTTTTGGATCCCTGCAAAGCCACACCAACATGTCGCAGTCTTTTCCTGGCCGCAAAAAGGTGCAACCTCTGACACGGATGAATCCACCTGGCGGATGAAAGGGGGGCTGCTTCATCCCAAGAAAAGGATCCTCGCTGAAATGGAACAAAGGCAATCGAAATCAACCGGGGGGGCTCCATCAACTAGTTGGCCCACTAACTTCACAAGGTCAACTTCTGAAAGCAGCCCTGGCTGCTTCTGTGCCAAGAAGTATCCGTCCTTGAGCAAAGGCGCACATGAAAAGCAGGAAAAATGACGATGGCTGTCCAAGGAGATTCACACTTCATATCCAGGAGGAACGAATGAAAGGCCCCTTCCCCACATTTTCCTTCCCCAGGCCTCGTGCCCTGGGCCGCTCTTCGTGTACACGAAGTGGACCTCGAAGAGGAGCCACGCCATCGCGAAGGGCACCCAGCCTGCTCCAGACGCGGAGCTCGGCCGACGCCTTTTGGCCCAACTCGGCGAAATCCATTTCGCACCAAATGAAAACCGTGGTTGAAAGCCATAACATTTGTTGGTATTTAGAGGGGAATCGAATCAGAAACCAGGGTTTCTTAGGTGGTGCGAAATGGTTTTCGTCCATCCACAGTATGGCTGTGGCTCAAAAAGGACGGGAACCAAAAGCTGCTGTTGCTCTTGTCGCTTTCCTAAAAACTGCGGGTTGCGAGCGGAACCTTAACCCCTGGCCATGTGTGTTTGCGTACGCCTATCACCGTGGGAAACTAGCTTCCGGTGATGCCACCGAAACAGGGAGAAGGCTGACGGCTGACTTCGCGTAGAATGTATTGTAGCTGGCCTCTTACACAAACAATTATCATAACTCACAAACTGGACGGATGGAATCCACAAGCCAGGGACCTTCTCGTTGTGGGAGCTCATTCTGACATCTTGAGTGATTGACCAACAAGCCCACTCCCCTGCAAACTAACATGGAACCCAAAAGGGGGGTCAAAGTAGTTCCCTCCGAAGAATGGCTTTTTGGGTTGCATGTTGCGGAACCCAACATTGGCCTGTACAAAGCCCGATCCCAAAGATGCCCACCACGTGGAAGAAGTAGTTGGGGTGCCGGCACAGCGCCCAAAGCCCTTTGTCCAGCACCAGCGGGGACCCGGAACCAGAGGCAAGGGCCTCCTGCTTCCGGGTCTTGAACCTCAACGGAGATGGGCAACAGGCAAGATCCGATTCGGCCCCCATTGGAGGAAACCAACAGAAGGGCGTGGCCCAACCCAGAGGGGAGGCCAAAGCAGCCCCCCCGCTGTTGGTGGATTGGTTGGACTCTTGTGCTCAAACTGGGGGGATAGTGTAGTTTGCTTGGCTTGGCAAGGCGATCGTTTTCTTGCTTGACTTGCTGTGCTTGTCGGCAGGCTGATGTCCTCTGTAAAGTGTTCCAGTTCAACCTTCTCAAGAGATTCAGGCTGATGGTTGGTTGAAACAGGTGCGTCCTCACGGGGCAGGCTTGCAGCATGAAGCATGCGCCATCGTTTTGTCCCCCAATTCAAGCCCCGACTGTTGCCTCACACAAAAGGGAGCCCAGCATAGTCATGTTTGTGATAAAGTCCGGAAACATCATGCGTTCTAGCACCAAGGTCCCAAAGTTCACCAAACAAATAACAGCGAACCCCAAACAAAGCCTCCTCGCGGCTTCGTGCCGGCTTCTTTCCGAAACCATCCCAGGAGAGGGGCTGCGTTTCTTCACTTCCCTCTAGACCCCGGGTCCCCTCCCCCCACCTCAGCTGTTGCCCCCGCCTAAAGACACAAAGATGTCAGCCCACTTCGGTCCGAGAAACCTTACAATGCAAAGTTGCGCCATGTGCGAAGGAACCTTGAGCGCTTCAAGGGGCAGAATACTCAAAAAGAGGTTGCTCACCCCTAGTCATAACTTGTAAACTACCAGAGTTATAAGCCAAGTGGGTTATAACCACATACTGACTAACAGTGGGTTACAACCATTTTTGCCAACCACTTGCTCCGGAGCCCTATGCCCTTCCAGTGAAAAGAAACACAGCGCCGGCCTTGCCAGCTGGAAATCGGCCAGCATCACCAGTGCGTGGCCAAGCGTGGCCAACAGCACCCCGCAGACCCACATCCACAAAGGCAAAGGGTCCAGCGCGAAGGGCATACCTGGCTGTGAGTCAAAATTGAACCACCACGAATGGACCGCAGGTTTCGTCCTTGGCTTCATTTACCAGGAAAAGCCATTTTGGGCTCCTATCTTGCTGGTGCGATAGGTGGGGAATGAGAAATGGAATTCACCCAGGCTTCGGCCCCTGGGAAACCAACCAGTTGGATATGGGCCATTCCATTTCTCCTTCCCTATCGCACCAGCCAGGGCCATCCAAGGTGACCCCCGAAAAGCTGGGACTGCGGTGGCTCAAATCTTTCATAAGCGAGTGTCAAAAGGTGTCAAAAGCAGTTTTTCCCCCAAAAGTGGAAGGGCTAAATCTCCCGAAGCCGAAAAGGCGCCCCCCCACAAGCTATGGAAGTGCAGGTTTCGGCCCCCATGACTTTGCGTTTGGACAGGGGTCTGTGCAAAGACCAAGAAACAGGCGATGAAGGGCTGGCTCAGCTGGAAGAGGCAGATGTACGGCAGGACGTAGACCAAATCTTTGGCCTCCGATGCAAACAACGAAAAAACTGATGCCAAGCCCCTCCTCCTGGCTGTAGTGCCGAAAAAAAGTAAAGACCGTTTGGCAAACCACTTGACAGCTGTTTGGGGGGGGGGCCGTTGAAGAATCCTATAGGAGAAATGTCTGGCAAAAACATACCCTTCCAACAAGCCCAAGGAGTATCCCCAACAGCCCCGAACCTCCCCAAAACTTCCCCGAAGCCGCGAAACCCTCCAGGAACTTGCCCCAGACCCACTCCAAACCACCCACACCACCTTGCCAATTTTTGGAATCGCCTGCACGGTGTCCGTGTGGCTCACGAAAAGCACCCACAGCGTCACACGGGCCGTGTAGAGGCCTTAGCAACGCGTGCGGAAGAGACTCACCTGCCCAAAGGGCCTGGACATCACAGGTAAACCTTTGGCGGCCTCGACGCAAACAATCAAAAGGTCAAACGGTTGGTGGCTTTTGGACATCGTATCTGTTCAGCCAAAAAACACTCGAGGGAAAACTGCCTACGAAGTAGGAATTGCCCTGGGGCATGCACGCAGAAAGGATGACTGGCTGACACAAGAAAGAGACATCAACAAATTAGGGTGGGTCTCAATGAAAAATGAAGGGACACCAAGAAAAGCGGGCTTCGAAATCCACAAAACAAGAGCTGTCCAACCGAAACAGGAGGTGGCATCAAGAAAACTGGCTTTGCTGTAAGAAAGGGGGCTGCCCATCCAAAGATTCACGAGTCCGACCGAAAACTCGGACAGCCACGTGCACAAAGACCGGCAAACAAAAATCGGGGTGCCATCGTACAGTCGGGGGACAGTTCGCGTAGAACAACGTGCCCGCCTTCCAGCCGCTCAGCTCGTAGGCTTGGCTGAAGTACCTTTCGCCCAGAAGAAACCTCCAGGGTCTGCTCTAAAAACCTCACGCCACCAACAGGGTCCCTTAAAGGATACACTCGGCCCACTTAAACATCATTTTTGCCAGCTGACTTGGATGCATCTTTCAAGAACCTTGACTAACAGGACATGCAAACATGCAAATGGCCAAACATGACTATATACAATATGCGGATATGTGGATATATATATATATATATAGGGTACCCCCCCCCTGGAGTACTCAGGTGTTTGGCCAGAAATTGACATTTTGGCTGTAAAAATGCATGCAAAACACACGTTCCAGCTTCTAAAATCAGGCTCTAAAAAAATGCACTCCTTTTTAGACTTAAATTCTAGCATCGGTACTTAGTGCAATCCAGGATGTGCTAGCACGTGCTAGCACGTCCTGCATTGAAGATTGAAGATTGAAGATTCTCAGACCACTTGTTCTGGAAATGTTCAATCCGTCCTTAGGACTAACTGGTATGTGCTAGCACGTGCTAGCACATCCTGGATTGAAGATTGAAGATTCAAGATTCTCTGACAACTCTCTCTGGGATTCTTCAATCTTCAATCTTCAATCCAGGATGCGCTAGCACGTGCTAGCACATACCAGTTTGTCCTCAGGATGGATTGAAGATTCCCAGAACAAATATTCTGAGAATCTTCAATCTTCAATCTTCAATCCAGCTAGCACATCCTGGATTACTTTTGGAGAATTTCAGAAAGAGTTGTCAGAGAATCTTGAATCTCTCATCCAGATCCTGGATTGCTTTAAGTGCGGATTTGAAGAACCGACAAGGCAGACCGGGAGTGCACGTTGTCAGAATCAAAAGTGGATGTGCGCTTGCACTGCCTGCAATTGGCCAGGGGGAAAAATGTTCACCTTTACATTTTTTTGTGGACCTGAGGGCTGGCCAGGATGGAAGATTCTCAAATAGAAAATCTGATAGATCTTCAATCTTCAATTCAGGGGGCGAAACCTTGATGAGTCTAGAACAAACTGTCAAGTTTCTGGGGGACCAGGATTGAGTACATTCTGAACATATGTTTGTGGAACCTTGTATATACGATGTTCGATCCAAGGCAACACGATCTGAGCAAATGCTGAAAAACACTGCGTTTTACAGCATTTATGCAAAGAATAGGATCTATGATTGAAAACAAATTCCTGTCATTGGCTTTGCCTGGTTCAAACCACATGGAGTTCGAAGGACAATAACCCTTTCAAAATTGAGTTTGATTCCAAATTCATTTGGCCATGACAATAGCTATCTTCCCCAGTTGATTTTTGAAATGCACAAGGAACTGCAAACGTGTAAACTTGAATTTGGTTTGAACTCGAAAGCTTTTTTTAACTGGATATTCTTCCTTTACTTGAATTTCAATAGTTGTTAGTGGCGATGATGGAACCAACTTAGACAAGCAACACACACACACACACGTGGGATAGTTGCTTTGCAACATATGCTGCAATTAGACTGAACTAGCATGTCAGGAATTATGCGCAACACTCGAGTTAACATGTAAATGCAACTGCGCAAGGACATGAATTAGGAATGAGCTCCTTTTCCCCGAGTTGATGTTTTGCTGAATTTCGCTGCCAAACAAAAATAATAAACGCTGCTACAGGCGCGTTGAAGCTGCCAAAACATACTTTGCGCACTACTCCTGTACTGAATGAACAGTTGTGTTTTTTGAGCTGGAGCTGCCAAATTGCACTTTGCATACTCCAATGTGACTTTAAGTGCACTTCGCGCACGCCAATGTGACGGTCACACAACTCGAAACTCCTAATCAACGTTAAGCTTAACTTCTGATTGGTTAGAATTTGCATGGAGTTGAGTGTTCAGTTCATTTCAGAGTCTCAAGGCATTTGTTACCCCCAGTCTGGCCAAAAATCTCAGTTCTGTCCAAAAACCTGAGTATTTCAAGGGGGGGTAGCATATATATATATATATACACGCCTTTTTGGTGGGGGGGGGTGGCCCGCCCCAGCGCCTTTAAAAAACATACCCCAAAGGTTTGGTTCGTATGTTGCCTTCTATATACCCGTGTTTGGTCTAAGAGTTTGGACTGTCTTAGAAGGAATGTGTTTTTTCCAACCTTGACGGCTATGGGGTCGAACAACGCTCTTGGCACTAGGCTGCCAAGAAAATATTGCCTTCTTTGGAACGGATCCCACAAGTCGAATCCGGCAAAAAGCTGGAGCCTGGTTGAATCATGTCAGACCCATGGGCTCAGGGTTAGATCGCCCACCCTCACCCACCGCCGGACCTAAGGATCATGGCGCTACCGCCGAAGCATTCCCAGGCCAAGACCAGGCTGATGCAGCTTTGCAGAGTTGCCAAGGCCAGCGCGTTCGCCAACTTCCGCGGGCCCCCGCCTCGGACGTGGAAATTCTCTCCCGGCAGCTTGGCCATGACGCCCGGGTCGCGCGGTGTTTTTTCAAGTCACTTGAGCCGTGGTCGACATTCATTAAGGTGGACATCTCCCCACTCATGTGTGTTACCCAGGTGGCTGCTTCATATTACATCTCGCATGTTGCTTTTTTCAACCCCTGCATGAGCTAGGGACAGAAGCTGTAAACACTGACCTTTGCTAGGCGTCGTTGCGGCTCCGTCCCGCCAGGGATACAAAAATTACAAGCACTGCAAATGAACATGAAACCCAACAAAAAACTGGCCTCCTGGGGGAACGCCTTGGGTTCCAAGTTGATAAGCACTCCCAAGACCTTCATCTCTTCCCAGTCCTGGTTCTGAACCCCCTGCACGGCCGCCTGCGGAGAGTTGGGGCAATGGCATCTCTTTGCGTTGCCGGGGAATGTGGGAAGAACCCCAACCCTGCGTAGAGTTGAAACATGTTTTCTGGGTTGGAACAGAAACTGGCAATCATACCTGGGCAAATCCTCGTCTTATCCCCTGCTGAGCTCGCTTTTCTAGCTTGCCCAGATCGCATTCCCTACTACAAAAACAATCAAATACCTGGGCCAGACGCATCCAACCCCTTGCAAAAGCCATATTGTTGCTGGTTGAAGAGAAAATATCGAAGCAAGTCCGGCAATGCCAAAATCCCTGCCACGAAAGACACAGCGAAACACGAGGGATGGTTGGCCAGCCGTGCTGGGACCATCCTCGAGCCTGCCTGAGCGAGCGGGGAGAAGCCGCTTGACCTGGCATCGAGAGGGTTGACAAGATGCGTGGCCTGAAACTGGGTAGGTGTCAAGGACCAACAAAGTTTGCTCTGTCTAATCACAGCAAAAGGAAACTCAGCCTTTCTAAAAGGCGATAAGGGAAAGCGGAGTTGGAACCCTTGGGGAAAGGGGGCCTCGATGGTTTCGTGAAACTGGGTTCTCGGGTTTGGTTTCTTAGATCCTTCACTTCTTTTTGGGACAGAGTCAAATTGTATGGTCCCATGAGTGTGTGTGTGTGTATGTGTGCTGCGAGGGAGAGAGGAGAGGGAGAGAGGGAGACGGAGAAACAGGGAGACGGGGAGACGGGGATGGAGAGATGGAGAGATGGAGAGATGGAGAGATGTGGAGCTGGGGATATGGGGAGAGGGGAGAGGGACGAGAGTTGCGATCAACAAGGAGTTGCCATCGACACTCCACCTGCAAAAATCCGCAATGATTTCAAGACCTGAAGTAAGGAAACCCCAAGTAAAGGACTTACTTTGTGGTATATTGTGGTGAGCTCGTTCTACCCGGCGAGCTCGCCACAAAATCATTAGGCACACTCCGTGGGGAACTCGCAAATACCAATATTCTAACATATCGCGCCAAACTGTGGGCAGGGGCCCCCGATTCCAAAAAACAACATGAGGAACTCTGACTTTGACAAACCCCCTATTTAAAAAAAAAAAAAAAAAAAAAAATGAACATGAGCGCCCTCCCAAATGGTGTAACGTTCCCTTAGGTTTCGCTTTGGAGGGACCCACCAAACATGAGTGCCGCGCCTGCCAGGGCAGCCAAGCCGTCCTGCGCGGAGTCAAGATGCTTCAACCAAAGGTCTGGAACCGTTGGATTGAGCCAGAGGAAAACATGGTCCTCTATTGTTGAAAAGTCAAAGGGGGGGGGCCTGAGGGACCACAAATATTGGTCCAGCGTCAGGAATGCGGGTTGCACCCTTTTTTGCGAGGGCCGAAGAAAGAGATGTTTGCCATCTGTTTGGGAAACCTCAAAAACTGAGAGGCAAAAGAAAAAAGGAAAAGGAAGGAGAAAAAAACACAGAAACTCCCTTTCGTTGGCCATGATATTTACCTGCGTATACTAGAAACACATCAGGGAACCCGAGGCTCAACCTTGGCAAGTAAAGGTCGCACATTGCAGCAACCCGTCACGCGACTTGGAGAAGCTTTCCGCGATCCTGATCCCCGAAAGACCCAAAGAGTTGGGAGGCAAAGTTCGCGGGCACTGCCAAGCACTCAAGTGAAGAGACCGGGTTCCGGACGAGCGCGTAGAGTGTTCGCGTCCAGCTGAGAATAGCGAAGCATTCAAAACTGGATGTCGTGTTTGACTGCCACATCGGATCACCCGAATCCGCCCGCACCCGTCATGCGTGCTCTCCGGCATATCCTTCATGCTTCATAGGTGAGCTTGCTTACAGAAACCCCACTAGAGTTGATTGCAAGCCCTCGATGAACCAATGGTACACTTACAATGAAAAGTACACTTGCCATGAAAATGTCCCAAGTGGCGGCAAAAAAAACATCCGCTGTGTCAAATGGGTGTTCCCTGACCGCGCCCCTTCGAGTCATCCAGGGTGGCCAAACACCGGCTTCATCAGTACCGCTACATCCGCCAAAACATGCAACGCACCCCAGTCATCACCATTGTCCTGGCAGACCTGGGAAAACATCGACACATCATCTTCCGCAAATGACAAGACTGCAAAAACCACTTTGCTCAAACATCCACTCCCTGTTTAGCAGCCGCCAAATTCCCGCGTCAAAAAGCCTCGGTCCTCGCAAGTCAAGAGGCGAAGGTGTAAACGAAGAGCTTGGGATGCCTGCCTGGCATCCCGTCTCAAACTCCCTTGCCCAGTTTCCCAAGGTGAAGGGGACTTGCTTCCTTGTTTGGCTGATTTCAAGGAAAAGGCTCACAAAAACCAAGGAAGACTTGCTTGAGTTTTGTGGTAGCGGGAGTCAATGCAGGGACATACATTTTCTCCGACAAAGTAGTCCACGTGATGGCTCACTCGTTCAATTACAAACCTTTGGCCATTGCGGGGCTGCTGTAGAGGAAATAAGCGTTCCTTTTGGGGCTGGTCTGCCTCCCAGCAGGACTTCAGCTCTTCTTTTGGCGTTGGCCGCCGATCACATCTGCGAACCTGATGTTTGGATACTTGGCCGCAGCAAATCAACAACAAATCGAACTTCTCCAAGCTGCCCCACGATTCCGGCGATTCACATCCAAGCATCAGTAGCAGCTGAGTTCACCGCGTTGCCCTGGTTGGCGTGTCACCGATCCCTGAGCCTTTGGCAAAACCACTTGTGAGAGAAATAGAGGTTCTTTCAGGAAATCGCAAGTTGATGCCACCCTCGTCCCCTTTGAGCATCGCATCACCCAACCAAAAGGAAGCTCACTTGAAAGGCGGCCTTCCAAAAGAGGCGTACAACCAACCGTGGGGGAAACCGAGCTCTTCTTAAAAACCATTCGACGGCTTTAAAGGGAAGGAAGCCCAAAACCACGGGCCAAGGGAAAAAGCCAAGGAGACCCGTCCAATGCTCGTGCTCGCCCACCTGCCGCAAGCTCACCAAGCTGAAGAAGCCCAGCCGCAAGGCCTACGTCCGGGCGGTTCTGGTGCCCGAAAAAGGACCCGTACACATTGGACGGTTGGGCCATGTTTTATTTTATTGTTTTAGTCTTTATTTTCATTATTGTTGTTATCATATTTTTCCATGCTTCATTTTATGATCGGTAGTATTTATGTTCATTATTGTTATTATATATATATATATGTATATATATGTCCGTATTGTTTTTGTTGCTGGGAGATTCATTTGTGTGAAGGGGTAACCAAAGGAAAAGCGGCCAGCTCTGCGGGGCTCCCATGTTTTGAGCACCCCAATTGGTCTCTTCTGTCCGGAAGATACGGGGTTGATCTGCTCCGTTTGGGGAACCTGCGCCATGGCCCAGGGTAGTTACAAGTCGCAAGAGTTGACAGGAGGGCAAACTGGGAGACTGTTAAGCACCTGGCTAAAATCTCCGGCCAGTCACTGGGTATAGCCAACTCTGAGCAATTCAACTGCTTGCTTGAACATGTCTAGCCCACAATCGTTTGCAACACAGAAGGGACGGTTGACGTCCAGGCTCCTGGGTTTCAGGACGTCACTCCCACCAATCATATGAGCTTGGCAAGCTACAGTATCTCTTTTCAAAGGAGCATGGCAATCAAGGAAGGATCTGGTTTGAAAGCATTTCGGTCATGCACGTGACGACTCTGAGCCCCTTGGTTGCCCTTTCAAAAGGCCTCAAAAAAGACATCCTCATACAATGCCTAGACCACGACATATGGTTCAAAATATGCGTTTGCAAAGGGAGCACGTGAGAAAATTGGTGAGTCCCCCAAATCAGGGGGCATTGTGTGTCCCCAATGTCTTTCCGAAATTGATGGTAAACTGCAACACATTTTTACAGGACGGCACGCGCGGCATGGTAATGGTCTCCTTAGTTGGCTCGGGATACCAAAACGCGCCCCTGCTATTGACACACCACACCCCCCCCCCCCATGGTTGAAAAAACCATTTGCTGGTATTTCAGGAGACGAACCATTCCAGGAGCCCTTGGGTGGTGCAAAATGGATTTCGTCCATCCACAGCACGCCAGAACGCCTGCCCGCCGCTCCGGCGCCGAGCAAGGCAGCGCATGGCGAGAAGTCAAACGGCGGGAAGCTTGGACTGGCTCCACAAGGAGATGTGGATGTGTCTTTGTTTGCGGGACCTCTCAAAACGGTGGCGTTCCTGGTGGTTACTACAAAAAGGAAAATCTGGAAAGGTTGAGGGCCTGGAAACAATGAAGGGGATTACACTGTGGAACCACATTGGGCTTTGTAGTACACAAATGGAGCAAGTTCGGTGGGATACGCTACTCCCCAAATTGGGGATGCAGCGTCCCTCCTTTTCCTGGCGAAATCTTGCTGACTCAAATGACCAGACAAGGATGTTGTAGCAAGGTGTTTGGAGTTTGCAGGCACAAATACAGTTGCACGTTCTCTATGTGTGCACGACGTTTCCTTCAATCCCCAGGATCGTGCTCCCCAAAAGCAGGCTCCTAATTCGCACTTAGAGTGCTGGTGCTTCGAGGAAGTGGTCTCCAGCCATACAAACCTTCAGCGCAGCCAACGGAGGACTGGCTTCTGGCACCTCCAACAAGGCTTACGCTATATGCAGGTCGAAAAGGTCAGAAAGCCATAAACATGTGTTGCTTCGGTTAGGCAGCGTGTCCCACCACATGTGTGTCTACAGAGAGTCAGCTTGCCACGCGTCGCAAAGGGTTCTGTGAGCTTCATAGCTGTAGGATAACCCTTTCTGTGATGCGATGGTGGGCCATTCCCTGTGACCATTTGATCTCGGTATCACGCAAAAAAACTAAGACCCCATTATCCACAGCCATGCATGCTATAAGCTGAAAGCCAGGACGGGCATCGAGATCCAGTCTGTGACCAGACCGAAGCTTAGGCAAAGCCCCAAGAAGGTGAAAATACATGGCGAGATGTTCTTTACGTGGCTAAGTAAAGGGGACTTTAAAACAGAGCAGGGAGCATTGCCCCACGTTCGCGCACACCCCGCCGTCGAGTCGAGCTCCTTGTCATCTGACTGTCGCCGCGGTGCGGTGCGCCCAACTTCGCCGATGCTTTGCATCGGCGGCGCCGAGGCCCCCGCGCCGAACCGAGAGGCCAAGAAGCCAAGTGCAGTCGATTCTCAGCGCCAAGCCTAGAGGCGCAAAGTACTCTAAGGGCTTAAACAACTTAACTAGGGCAGGGTGGTGGGGTACTTGAAAGCCAAGTCGTGATGGTAGGACAATCGTGTCTGTGTGTGTGTGAGCAAAGTATTTAGCGCCTCATGTTAGTCATACAAGGACCCGGATCACAAACCTGGGAACTGTACATACAGGGCTTTAAAACCATGAAGAAACCAAGCAACAAAGGGCTGACAGTCCGCCCAAACAGGCAGGCCAAGCCTCGAAACACTTTGAAAACACCCGCAAACTAGCAGGTCAACCTGGCAGCACCTGGTTTTAAGCTAGGCAACAAGTAAGTCAAACTGCGCCTCAGTGCAGAAATTAGATTTGGTGCTTGCGACGGTCCGATCCATGATGCGCGGTGCGTGCAACACATTTGCTGCAAGTGGGATGCGGAAGGGTCCAATCTGCAGACGAGGAAGGGTGTCCGAAAAGATGGACTTGCTCACCCTTTCAAATGGTGGTGTCCTTTGAACATCATTCGAACAGAGTCCCTCCGACACGGTCTTGATGCTTTCTTGGCCAATCTTGAGAATCGACAGGACGTCAGCGCAGCAAGATTGTCAGCCTACTCCCTTTCAAGCGAGCGCAATTACCTCCTGGTGTCCAATTCATTAACCTGAAGGAAGGGTTTCCACAAGGAACCTTCATCGTGGAGCTTGCTTTCTTCCACCCCTCCTACTGCGCACTCGCGGCTCAAAACGGAGGGCGGAAAAAGGGCAGAGCTGGTCGGATCAAAACAGCGCCATCAAAGCCGTTGATGCGCATACACCTCAAGGAACAAAAAACAAAAAACCAGCCCAGAAGTGTCCAGTTTCTGGAAAACATCACCTCACGACAACCTACATGGGCGCGAGATATGACTCCGGACAAAATGGGTGGACATCATGTACATGGTTAAATCAATTGCCGCCAACCATTTTGAGGCTCGTTTCCACAACTCACCAAACTCAGCCACAACTCAAGCTGAGGCCCCAGCCCCCGGCTCTAGCCGGCGATGCAGCAACGGTTTTCGTGGTGGGCTTCAAAATCGCCAACCTCAGGCGCCTCAGATTGCCAGAGCCAGTGCAGTCCAATAGTGGCTATAGTGATTACGGGGGCAAAGGGGGGGGCGAAGACATGTGGGGGCTGGTTCAAGGGGTATGCAGTCGTGGTTTTCCAAATTCCCGTTCAAAGGGTCCATTACCACCCCGGCAAGGTGCAATTTAGCGGATGTGCCGATGCTGGACTGAATGCAACGCAAACCTCTACAGCCGGACTGATGGCACACGGAGAAAAGCACTTGTCGTACACACAACGCCTGAGTTTCCGGTCCGGCGCGCTCTTTTTAACCCTATGAAGCCAGGTAACAAGACCACCATTCATAGCCAATGGTGAACTTTACTAGGGGACCCAATGATGTGGCCATCATTTAGGGGGGATGCATGTCCCATAAACCACTTGTAAGCTGGTTCCCGCAAGAAAAAACACAACTCGGAAAAAGGACCAGATACCTCGCCTGCATCTTTGTTTGGTCATGGATGGATTGACTGCATTGATTGGATTGCCGCAGCTTTTTATGGCAAGGGGATTGTCCCTAACCTTCGCTTACCCGGGTTTGGCTTGTGACTCATTTGGCCATGGGTCAAAACCCCGTACCTTCAGTGAACATCCCAATCCCCATTAAAGTAGGCTCTAACATGGGTGGTACACCCCAAAATGGGATCCCATTGCTTTTGTTTTTCTTTGACCTTTGGCTCTGGGTGAAAAACATGTACCAAAATGGCACCCTGGTACATGGAACCAAAGACTAAAACCTGCGTGATCCTAAGTCGTTCATTTTCAGCCACCGCCATTTGGGCGCTCCACTTCGGACCAGACACCCCGCCTGCACTCCGAGTCCGAGTCAGGCGAACTTCTCCAGGCGCGCCTTGAGCTCCGGCCACGCGGGGTCCGAGCCCACCGCATCCGCGCCCCGCGCGAGGATCACCTGCCTAGCGCGGGGGGGGGGGGGGGGGGCGACCCAAACCCATTTGGTGTTTGGTTCTACCAAGATGGTTTATACAGGTTTGTACATATGTAAAAGCATATGTAAAAAAATACAAATAATAATAATAATAATAGTAATAATAATAACACAGATGTAAATAGAAATATATTATGCACATAGGGATTGCTAAACCTGGTCAATTGGCCAATAGGTGGCTCTCCGAGGTCAGGTGTGTCAAGATGGGAAGATTGGCTTCCGCCGACGGCAGGGTGGTCGCACAACCACACGTGTGAAGTGATGAATGCAACCAGCACATGCACGAGAGCCCGGGGCAAATTACCAATGCTTCATGGGAAGTTTGGGTGGTCCCTGATGCTCTCGATGTTTAGATATAGCGTCCCTTCCTAGATGATTAATGATAAATTTGGGTGGCTACCCCATGTCCTTCAAAGAATACCAGCAGACAAGCAATACTTCTGTCAATTGCTCATATGTACAATGGTCAACACCCCGAATCTGTGTGCCTTGGTCAAGGAGATTCTGACCAAGGCGCAGGTCAAACAGGGAGTTTGTTTGGACCCATGGTGGTGTCAGGTTTTGCAAAGAAACAAATAAAAGGATATATACCCGAAATGTGATTCCACAACTTTTGACCAGAAAGACAGAGGATATTCCTTTAGACTCAGGTGGTCACAAGGGCTAAATAAGTTCTAAAGTAGCGCAACTCGCTTTGGAGATACTTTGAACCTCCAGTTCAGCGGTTTTGGCCGTGAAGTCGTCTGCCAATTGGAGCTTGCGGAGGTCTGCCTGGACCCTCAAAGTACCCGGAAAAATTGTAGATCGCACCAGCACATGAGATGATTTCGCATGTTTGAGGGTACCTTTGAGGGGGTCCAAACAAGTTTCTAAGATGGATCGGCGTGTGAGCCTTGGGGATCAGGCGTATGTCGATAGGGGCGAGGGGTGTATGCTTCGACGCTTAGATTCAAGGATTCACATCAACCCCAGCACCCCAATCAACCCTTACCAGGAAATGTTGAATGGACCACATCTGGGGCAAAGACTTTGGTCCCACATCCCACCATGCTTGCAAACGCCTGCCGATGGGAGACAATGAACCAAGGGTGTCTACCGTCATAAGGCAGTGCCCCAAACTTGGGTGAAACCTTTGACTTAGGTTCTGAAAGGAATTAAAGAACAGGATGGCTGTGTGTTTTGAGGGTATCCCAATGTCCCACTCTTGGAATCACATCAATGAGCCGAGAGTCGCCATCTTCTTCTGATTGGCCTTGCACCACTCAGAGACCAAGTCTTTCCACTCGTCCTTGCTCAGAGCTCCATCCCCATTCTTGTCGAATTGCTTGAGGATGTCGTCCTCTGAAAGAAGAACGGACAAATCTATTTGGGCTCGGTTGGTTGTTTCTTGTTGGGGCATGGGAAAGTAAAGACGCCAAGAGTAGTGCTTAAAGATGGCTAGCTTTCTTGAATTGAGGGATGTCCTTGTGCAGAAAAGGGCCTTCTCGAATTGTACCCAATGAGTAAGATTGCTGCTTGTAGTGCGATCAATTTGCTGCGTGGTTGCCCTATTGCTTGATTGCTTTTTATGTGGAGTTTGCCGAAAACTGCCTTCTTGCGGAGTTTTACATTTTTGCTGGCCAGGCTCTGCATGCCAGTCCAGGCTGCAAAGTGTTCAACTTGTTCCTGGCCAGTTCTCGTACCCCGGCAGCTCTTGGAAAGCAGGGACTGGCATTTTGAGGCTGGTGGATGTTGATAGGACCCCCCAACGACAAAGGGTAGCAATCGGGAAATTGGGACGGCTTGATTTTTTCAGCCGTCGCTCGCATCCTTCCCATCCAATGATGGGAAAACCCAAAAACAAAAGACTCGGAAGATGCGTCCATGCCCGCTGCATAGTTTCAAGACCTGAAGCAGGCATTTACCCAGGCGCCCTCGAACTGTGCCGAGACATGGCATCTTCAAAGCAAACATCTTGTGATGTAAACACTGACAAATGAAAACTGGGTGCGAATCACTTGTTTCCTTCATTATGTTTCCAATAAAGAGTGAACCATATATATATATATATATATGTATATATGTTCAATCTGGTTACTGCTTTTTGAACATGCATCCCTCGAGATCCCCGCCAGAGGAGCTTTGGGCTTTTCGCTTGTATCTCAATGGCGCAACAGGCTCCATGTAAGTCCCCTCTTGGAAATCTGGGCTTCCTGGCCCCAAAACACAGGGCGTCCAACTGCAAACCCAACCAACACCGAGGGTGCAGATTCCCCGGGTCCATCAACGTCACATCCTCAAAATCAACCTCTGAATTGGAGTTGAAAGGGAAAAGCCATCGGGCTCTACAAGCAATTTTGAGAAACCCTATCTTGCTGGTGCTCAGTAGGGAATGAGGGAATGAACCCAGAGATTCCTCAAAGGAAACCACCAGGCCACCAGGGATGGCTTATCTCGGCGTCATTCGCAGATTCCCTGAGCACCAGCAAGTAATGATCACTTTAAGGGACCCATGCTTTTCAGGTTCATAGGGCCTAGCTCGCTCAGCTCAGGAGCTTGGAGCTTTCAGCGGACACCCGCCCCCTGGGCCTTGCTCTCCAGGCTGTCGCATGCGCGGACCATCATGTCCGCCATGTACCCCATCTCCGAGATCTTCACCTCGCTGTGGGTGCCAAATGGGGAGCTGGAAAAAGCCAAGACATGTATCCATCGGCCCGTGTGGCTTCCTTTTGAGGACATGAAAAAGAATGGCTTATTTAGCACCCAAACGCAAATAGGCGGATGGATGCCTCCCCATAATAACAAAGGGCTACATATGTATAAACCCTTGGCAGCTTATTGCGAGCAATGTACATACGGCTCGATACATGTCGTTGCACATGATGCACGCACGCACGTATGCATGCATGAAAAAGTGGGTTTCTGCCAAAGAAAGAAAAAACGATGGATGAATTAACAAGCAGACAAACAAACAAGCAAATATATAACCCAACAAACAAACATGGAATAAACAGCAAGCAAAACAATAGGAAAAATATAAACAATGCATAGCAAACAAAGACAAGATAAATTAACAATGAAAGAACGTGGGCCACCGGAGGCAGCCAAAAAAAGGGCTGGGCAAACCGGAAACCAGAGTTAGGCCCCCAATTTACACTTCACATGCTTAAACAACCTCCTTATGGTTCCCCTTTGAAGGGGTCTGCGGTCTGGTTCTTTCAACTAGAAATTGCCCCACCCCGGCAACCCCCGCCTTCCCGCTCTCGTCTGCGTCCAGCTCGCCGAACATGCGGACGAAGGCCTCGCCCGGATGGACGAAAACCATTTCGCACCACTTTGTGGGTATCTACAGCAGAATCATCATTCCAGGGATTCTTAGGTGGTGCAGGATTTCGTCCATCCACAGTATGGGTGTAATTTTGGATTAGGGACTCTGTGGTAGTGAGAATGTTCGTGTCCACCAACCACCTGTGAGGTGTTTCCTTATTAATTTCAGAGCCATATGAGTCACAATCAAACTGACATGTTTCTTTTGAAGGAAATTGGAAATTGAGTGTGCCTGGATGTTGTGGAGAAACTGAGTGAGTCCCCATGTGTCCTCCCAAATGGCCTGTAGACACAGCTAAGGACAAGGAACCCCGTTTCCAGGTTCCTTTGAAAGCAGGATTGATATAAACTCCTGGTTGATTAATTGGGGATATATGTATTTTTGTACAAATTAGAGGGACCTTCACTTTTCTGGAGGAACACACTCCTAACAATCTGCCTGTACATACTGGAGCAAATATAGGGCTCCCTACAAAACAGCTCCCTCTCCCCCTTAGACAGATCACCCCGCTAAGAAGAACAGCATCAAAAATTGACAATCGAATGCTGATGTGGCCGTCTCAAACCACAGGGAAACAGAGGGACCCCTACCTACTTTGTGAAACAACAACAAACAAAACCAAGCAAGCAAACAAACAAACACGAACAACCAAGCAAGCAAGCAAGCAAGCAAGCAAGCAAGCAAACAAACAAACAAACAAACAAACAAACAAACACGCAGACAGGCAAACAACCAGACCAGGCCAAACCAAACCAACAACAAACATGTAGCAACGAAATAAACAATAAACGCTCGCTGCTACAGACGTGTTTGTCACTTTCGAACCACGAACCGCCTGCCGCGATGTCCGGCGCCCTCCCCGTCCCTCCCGCAAAACCGCCTCCCCGTTCTCCAGAAACTTCCTTGGGGCATTGGACTGCACAGCTGGCCCACAGAACCAAAGGGCCGAGAAGAAAAGTGGGTCTTTTCGAGGCCAAACAGCCCCGCAAGGGAACCCGGCAGTCTTCTGCCCAAGGCCGGCTGCAAAAATGGGTCGGTCACAGGGACGCCCTCGAGAAGTGCACGTCCGAACATACTTCTGTCAGTTGGCAACGGCTTTCTGGGGTCATGGACACCCGTGTAGGATGCTACACATGTGATGGTCCTTTGTTGCAAGCAATCGGAACCCATTGAACAGATCCCCCAACTTACTAAGGCATCCTTTTGGGCTTCCCCACTTTCAGACATCCAGAATGACTGGCGGGCACAAAGAGCGGTCATAAGCCTCGCAGCAGATGCGTGGAAGACGAGCTCAACAGGTAAGACCCCCGAAAATTCACACGGGCTGGTCTCCAAATGGGCCCGTAAAAGACACGCCCACACTAGGAGGACCCTGTCGGGGATCCAAGCTGACCACGTTCTGTGCGGGATGGATGATGCTTCCGAAGCGGAGGAATCCCCCGATGGAGCACAAGAGTACAAAATGGTCATGCTGCTTGGAGTAATACAGGGTCAGACATAGACGTCCCCCAAAATAACTTTTGCGTGCTTCCGAAATGAGGGAGCACCCAGTGGATGGTTTCCAAAGGAGAAGCAAAAGATTGGAGGTTTTCCGATTCAAGGAGCTGCCCTTTGCCACCTTCTCAAATGAACCATAGACGACCAGTGACTCATCCATTCAAATTTATTCTTTGCCTTGGACTACCCAGGGTGAAACGTTTTGCAGCTTCAAGGGCACTTTCAACGAGACCCGAAAAGTGGTGGACCCTCTTTGATAAGTTGCGATATAACCCGCTTCTTGTGAGAAAAATGCGACGCGTATGTGTCAAAACAGGGAGACCCCCAAAAAAGAGTTGTCTTCCAATTCCCTTTCGACGAATCCGAAACAAAAGCGGGTTCCCTCAAGATGGGCCGACGCCTTCATAAACCTGCTTGAACAACTGGACCACTTGGCTGCTTCTTGGTTGTAAATAGGGCGACGTTTCGGAGGCTTATAGCCCCATTCATCCAAACTAAGGCGGCCAAGCTGGTTGCTTTGACAAATGGTTGTGTCTTTTGGAGGGTAAATTGCCTTTGATCGCTGGGTTTGAAGGGGAATCCAAAAGAAAAGACCACCTCCAATTTCGGAGGTCCGCGTATTTTGGGAGCCCAAATGCAACCAACGACTCCCCTCTCGCGCCAATTTCGCTTAGCCTCTCCACCGTCTCCACCCCTGACGTGAACACCGCCAAAGGCGACTTCTCCTCGCTCGGGGGGGCGTCAGCCACGGCGGCGCTGCTGACCTGCGTTGATTCCAGGGAGCCGGGCGCGTGTTTTGGAGCTGGTACCCGTGGTCTGTAAATGGTGGACCCCCTTTGGGCGGGTTTTAAGCATACAAAAAGGCGACTGTAAACCAACTAATCAAATGGCACAGCTGATATTGGCCAAAAAGTGAAGGATTCCCTCTGAAATGGGACCCCACCCTGCCAGGTACCTTTTGAATGCCCTGGATTCATGGGTGCGGATTCAAAAACTCCCAGCCTGTGCCAAGAGCCGTCAAGCATGCCAACCGGCAAAAGTGGAGCACAAAAGCAAGAACCGCTGGGTCGCGTCAACACCAGGACCGCGAACTGAAATTGAGACGTGTGCAAACGTGTGAAACAATGGCTTCCGATAGATGAGCTGCCGCCAAAACCCTTTTGTGCGAAACTGGGATATCTCTCAAGCCTTCGTTTTAAAGACTCGCCTTCGTTTTTGAGGCCGTTTGCTGTGATGTTGCGTGCATTGACAACTTTCACCAGTTCAGTGTGTTTGTGTGATTGCCTTCATCGCATGGTCAATTACTCACAGAGCCTCAAATAGGTTCCATCCGCAACCTGTGAAAGATTCTTCGCGAACATTGACAATTCGAAATGGACATGTGTCAAATACCGAGAACAACTTTCCCAAATGGCTGGTTCCAGTTGGCTGCCTTTCAAAACCGACCCCAAGGGTCCAACTCGATTTCACGCAGGGTCACCGGGCTGTGAATGCGTTATTTCCAAGGTGTTTCCTAAAAAAGCGGAGCCTCTTTAACAGCGAGTTTGATCTTGTGTCCCTTTAAAGCCATCCAAAAACCGGGTTGGACAACCAAGAAGACTGCAAAAATAACTAAGCACGCAAAAATATGCAGAACTGGTTGGTGTTCAGGTGGCAAACCGAAAGCTGTGTGAGATCCGGCCGCTTTGGTTGTTATGTTGAAGACAGTTGAACAAGGGGCCGATTTTCTTGCCTTGTCCCAGGTTAGAGGGTCACAGGAAGCCATTTAAGAAACCCCTGCAATAGGCGGCTGCTGAGAGGAATCGTATTTCCCCCTTTTTTGGGCGTGTTTAAGCATCACCTTCTGGAGTTCTGCCAGGTGCCGGTTCCTCTGGTCGCCGCTTTGGGCCGAGCCGCCAAGGAGGACTTCTCCGGCTGCGCCTTTGCGAGAGCCTCGCACAGCTTCTGCCTCTCCGCGTCGGACAGGTTGGCAGCCGCCTGCCTCGGTTCGAACGAATGGACAAAGATATGCTAGGTCCTCCAGTAGAGAGGTTAGAATAAGGGTACATCTTTGTTTGCTGTAGTCTGGGGAACCCTCCCCCAAGAAAGGGTAAAAGGGCACTACTGGGGGAACTGACCCTGAGTTCGCCCTCAGTAGGTTCCCGGCCCGCCGCCTTAACCGCTTGCAACAAGGGTTACTAACCACTTAGCTAACCTCCGGCCCATGCAAGCGAGTTGAAGCCCAGGCCCGATTCGGTCACCTGAAAGCAGGAACCAAGGAGGCTTCTCTTAAACAATAGTGGCTTAAGCATGTCGAAGCAAGGAGTTGGCCCAACCAGGGTCCAGTGTTTGGACGGGCCAAAAACAAAACAAAATGGGGGCTGCTGCACAACTTCAGGAAACACCGATTTGACTTGCTAGTGGTTCATAGAATCCCCCACCACCTCTAGTGTAGTCCTCCAACCTTTAGCGTTTGAACATTTGGGAAATAAGGCCAAGCGTCCCCCCAATGAAATGAAGCGTAGATGACCAGCGACTTCAAGACTGTCCATTGCCAACATTGCTCATTGAATGTGAGGTGCCGTACGCCGCCCCAAGAGCCTGACACTTGTGACGAAGCTTTTCGCAGATCGTCCCAAGGTTGGGGGAAAAACTCATCTGGGCTCCAGGCATCGCAGGCGCCATCCCCACTTGCGGGTCCCCGTTCTTTGGTTCTCCAACCAGTTTCGTATGTCTCGGCCGGTACCTGCCTGTTCGCCCAAATTTTCCCTTGAAATCTTCGAGAAAAGTACGGGCGAACTGAATTTGGGGCCTTGAAACTTTGAAACTGGGGCTATCAAAATATTGCAACTGTGGGAGCCAGGCGACATCTCAATTGGTACCAAGAGCAGTTGCCCCAACGGATATTAATATACAATAGAGTGCCGGCACCGCACAATCCTATCTGTGACGACACGCAGCTCCTTTGACACAGCAAATACTGAAGGGGGGTCATTGTCTGGGTTGGTGGTTCTAGTGGTTCTGATGCTTTGGCTCTTGGATTGTCTTGGATCCGCATTGGTGGTTCTAGTATTTCTGCACCAAAAAGCGGCTTGCAGCTGCAAGCCTTGTGCAGCTGCGTTTCCGCCGAGCTTCTTCAGCTCCTCAGGGGAGGCCTTCTTCACAGCGTCCACTGAGCCGCCAGCGCCCATCACTGCGAGAGCCGAGAGTCGAGTCGCGAGTGGACTGAGTCGCTCTGAGAGAAGCTGCGGAGGGAAGGCGACGTCAGGAAGCCAAAGGAGGCTCCCTGGCAGCCGGTGCACTGAGGCATTAAATCATTACCACACCTTGTTCCCTTCTGATCTTGCCTTAATTTGGTTTTCAAGGTAACACAACCTCATTCTATTTATTCAGGCCCTGGTAGCACCTAGTAACAATCACGGAAGCAAACATGCGGGGCCTCTTCAAGATTGGCAGTACTGTTCCAAAACCCGGCACGTTAGCTTTTGACTTGTGGCTGCCACCCATTTGCTGGAGCAGCCTTTGCACGGAGCACATGTTTAGGCGGCCCTCAATTTCAATTTGACCCCCAGCACAATTGTCCTGCCGTATCGCTGAGTCAATCTATCGCCCTTCGTGGGTTCTTGTATGGGGAGGGAATGAAATAAAATATCATTCTTCTAGGGTCGACAAATGTCCAGGTCACCAACTTCCAGTTGCACAATCTTCAAGTCAAACTGTCTTTGAGCTGCAGTCAGAAAGCGGGATCGCCGATCTTCGATCAACTTGATCTCTCTTTCGGTCTGCTGCAGCCCCAGCTCCTCTCCCGAGCTTGCCACTAGCTTGGACCATTCCATTGCGCCTGAGAAAGATGTTAAAAATGAACAATCACCCCAACATGGTGAGCGATGACCCATGTTTGCAGATACTCTGAGGGTCCAGGTAGTCTGATTCCAAAGCTGATTGGATCAACTTCGTCGCAGTTAATAGCCCGCATCAAACTGAGTTGTTGTTTTCTAGGCTACTCTCAAACCAGGGTAGCCCCTCCACAACAGGTTCTTTTTGACCCCCTGCCAAGAACACGTGTGCGGGTTAGGCGGAAATAATGCGTGCCCCAAAACGCCAAAGATGAAAGCTCAAGTACAGAGCAAGCAAGACAATGAGCCCAGACTTGATGAAACTTCGAACTGCCGCCAGCAAAGCTGGCGGTCGCTGGCATCATCACGCACCCGGTCGTGCCATTTTTCCGGGACGTACAGCGCGAGGAAGCTCCTTTGGCACGGGCCACAATGCCGTGCATCTCCCGCCGCTCTAAGGGCCTTTGCAAAACACCTGGGGCATGACACCCACTGCGACCTGCTATCTCTCATGGTCAGTCGTCTTTAAACAGGCATTTGGTCATTCCAGACCAGGTCGGGTGTTGCTTGTTCAAAGGGTGTAGTGCCAGGATGCTGGTCAAATGGCCTTTTGGACTCCGGGATGGCTCAAATTAGCCTCCGAACCGGCTCTCATAGACTGACAAGGAACTAACGATGAGCCACGGTCAAGATTCAACAGATGTCCCGAACCTGAAAAAGTCATGTCACTCAAGCCACTACCCCCAATGGGTTTTTTGGGATATACAATCGCCATACAGCACACAATGACTGTGAATTTGGACCGTTGCTCATATACTACTCAGCTCTTGCCTGCTCAAGTCTTGTTGCTATGAGTTTCTCCTCATGAAAGCAACGCTATGTACACCCAGCGCATCCCTCCGCGCCCGACTGCACGCTTAGGTCGGAGAGCTCACACTCTTAGCAACGCCAGCCCTCATTGCTTGCTGAATCTTCCACCAATCGATTCCAAGGGGACAGAAATATTCCAGAAGGGGTGTGCGCACTTCCATGTTGGTTGGGGGGTTATCCTTTGCATGGACCGGAATCGCTAGATTCACCTCACCAAGAGAACATCAGCCACAATTGGTCCAAAAAGTGATGTTTGAACTGGCTTCAAAGGGAAGTATCAGGACCCCTGTGCGCAATCTGCGACGCCTGAAGGTTCCAACAAAACCGCAGAGTGCCCTGCGACCGGGGCGTACTTGGCGAGGAACTTCTCCGCATGTTGGGATGAGCACCTCGGCGCGAGCGACCCAAATCCGCGCTCTGTTGGTTCCCCAGTCACGGAGGTTTTCCCTTCCAAGCCTGTCAGCTTACCCACGAGTTGGACCCAACCAGGGATGCTGCATGGAGATCTGGAATGTGACGAATACGGAAAATGGTGCAAGTATCTGGGTGCTTGGACCTGGAAAAACCATGGCACCCCCGAGGCGTCCGCCCCCGAGGCGTCAGCCCGGGCGCATCAGCGTGAAGACTTGGGTCAGGTGCTCCTCGTTCACCTTGAAGACCTCCTCGCTGCCCACCTTGACGAACCTGAGGCATGGGATTTCCGAGGTGGCATTTTTCCCAAATTGGAGTGTTGAGAACTTCCGATTGGTGGTCTTGCTTTTGTGGGGTGGTGCTTACGGGGCAATGCGGAGGGCCCTACATTCTTCAACACGAACGGATTGTCTTACACTTTAAAACAGTAGAACCCCTCTTGAACGAAAAGCTGGCAAAAGGACATCCTGTGTGATAACTGTTTTGCGGCTGCAAGCTTCACCAACAGAGAACCAGAGAAGAAGACAAGCAATGAAAGACTAGACGTAGTGAAATGAACACATAATGATGAAGACAATAAGAACAGGAAAGACAAACAACAAAACATTTAATTCTAGACTCTCGTGTTGCGTTAATTTTTGATTTACTATAGTATGTCATTCACTGATTAAACGTTGACGCTTATTTGGATTAATCGTTGGAATCATATGTACATTCATATCAGTCCTTACAAGAATAGAATTGTACTCATCAGGTCAATAGGATTGTATCTCCAGAAAACCCACCATTGCATGGCTTCCTTATGATCTGCTTAGTATTCCATGCCTTGTGTGGAGGATTTGGACTTTTTTTGCGTTTGTCTTTGAAGGTTTTCCGAAGTGGTATGTCCGCAATGTGATCTATCATATGTTGTAGATTTTCATACCTTGCCCTAATCCGTGTTGGTTCTCAGAACTTGGAGGCGGTACAGGATAACCTGTCCACCACTATCCACTTCCTTTATGACTTTATCACCTTCAAGTACAGGAAACCTGATATATCGGGATCTCCTCCCGCCACCATTTGCGCAGTAAAAAGTCACTTCGCCGCTTGAACCGCCGCTGGGGTTATCTGCTGCAGATCCTCTTCCCGGGCGCTGATTGGTCAGGTCCGAGGCACTTGCCGAACCCGGCGGAGGTGCAGTTCTGGGCGGCAGAAGTGGGTTAAGGTGAGCGGTGAACATCTGCGAACACCCCATGTCTGGTTACATGTGGAAAAGTTCGGGAGTCCCCCATGTTTATCCAAGGCGACCATAGACAGAAGTTGTTGACCGAACCTCAGATGTGTCCAACTGCTGTTGTCTCAGAACAGAATGGTCTTGCTGGATCCCCAATAAGGCAAGCCCAACAAATAACCTCAAACAACGAGACACTTTGAGATCTTAGTCGGTTGATGTGTTTTTCTCGTTTGTCTGCCCGTTTTGTGAGCTGTCTGAGTTAATTCCTCGGGATGTCACCAACACGCACTTCAAAACCAACACCCTACGACACCTGTGCCATTTGTTGGAGGTCGATTTTCGTCATAGTTCTCATGCTCCCTGACTTGGCATTGCAGTGATTGAGTGAGGATTCCCTCACTCGAAGGAGACAAAGTCCCATTCCTGCGCCCTGCTCAAAGTTGACAGGTTGCAAGTGACGACGAGAACAGTCCTACATGTGTCCCATAAAACGCTTCGGTATGTCTAGAAAAGATTCAAAAAGTTTGGTTTCATGTTGGTGCCCGTTGTCTTTTGTACGTGGTCAGTACTCGGTTCTGCTCTACAACCTCGAAAACGCCAATCCACAACAGACCTCCAGCGGGGCCTGTCCTTTTCAACATGTAGTGGGCTTCGCTTTAATGGAAATCCTGTGGAGGTCTCATGAATGCCGCGCCCAAGACTTCACCGGAGGGATGCTTTCCGCAAGGCGCTTGGCTCTTTCCTCCTTCCTTTCTTCCTGCCTTCATTCCTTCCTTCCTGTCTTTTTCCCCTATTCTTTCTTTCTCTCCGTTGGCTTGTATCATTTGTAGCAAAAACAAATGAAGCCTTGCTCCCCCTAATCCGCTTCAAGCTGCTTATATGTTTGTATTAACCAGAATTCCAACTGCATCATATCTTCCTCGCGTTTAAGTGTGTAATAAAAACTGAACCAGAAAACTACCCTTTCTGCCTTTCCCAGAAAAGACCACATCTGACGCAAGGAAAGCAGTGACGGCACACGTGCACATGCGGATACCATGTTCCCACTTAGCCTCGACAAGAACTGGGGTTCGAATCCCCCAGCCAATCCAAACCACCAATGGACGGGAACCTGAAGTCGGGCCTCGAACAGGTCTGGCTGGCTTTTTTCTCCAAATAGCAAAAAAGGAAACCAAGGGGCCATTGCTTCAACAAGGTGGCTGTTCCGACAACCCTGGAATCGACCTCCCTCTCCCTTGTTTAGCTTTCTTGAAACCGGTGATCACCATAGATGTCCTTGCGAACAAATAGATGGCACTGGTAGATGAGCACAACCCGTGCCGTCCATTAAACCAAACCCACCAAAAATGGTGACACCCTTGATCAGAAGAGCCAGGGTGCGGTGATCTGGTGCATCATGTACCTCTTCAGCATATCAATGGAGATGTGGCCAGACCAACTGCTCACGCTCAGGAACTCCTTCGTCCAGCCTCGGCTCGAAGAAAAGGCTCCGGTTCAACCCTCTGCTTCCACCTGCCTTCAAGGGGCCAGGGGCTGGTTGTTCAAGCAAAGTTTGCCCAGCCCTGCTTGCCAACGTCGACCCTGGATGACAGAAATCCCATGTTCCCCTGGTCTAAACCCAACAATCGTGTTTGTCGCAACTGGTGACTCCCACAAATGGTGGGCTTGTGTTTGGTTTCCGTGTTCAAACCAACCAAAAGGGGTCACGTTACTGAAACCTACCAACCTTCCGCCAACCCATCCACCCTTGACCCCGCTTTCACATCCCATGGCTGGCCCCTGCCGATTTTCATGAAACCCCAACATCTATGATGTGTAGGTGAAGTTCCTTTGATTTTCAGGGGCGTATCTTCAAGAAAAAACACAGCGGCGATTTGCTACGTGGCCGAAAGCCAGTCAGGCACGCGTCTCATC